ATAAATACTAACAGTTTTTGGTTGTTTTTTTTTCTCGTATCATTTTCGTATCATTCTCGTATCATTCTTCGAAGTTCATGGATGCAAATCTTTCATCACTAGTGCGTTTCACATCTACTAAAGTGTAGGTAATATAACTAATTTAAGTTTTTTCCAATTCATAAATTTATGTTACTAAATTTTTCTTTTTCGATAATTCTCTTTTGTAGCCAACTCCCCTATCTACTTTTATTTTTTTATAATGAATTGGCGTCAACACATGCCAATCATTTGACCTTACCCTGATTATTTATATTTCTGTATTTAATCATTTAGTTAGCGTTACTACGTATTACATAAATATCGAATAAAATATCCTTACTTTTTTATACATATCACAAAAAATAAACTAATAAAGAAACATGTTATAAAATCTTTTAGTCAAATTCGGTTTTTCTCACGACGTTTCTTTCCTTTAAATTAAGCCACACACTATATCTACCTTTTAGTCAATTTCTGTAATTTCTATATTTTTTTTTTTTTAAAATTCATATTATATCACACTATTGACGATTATTATAAGAAAACACGTCCTTCTCTGACATACTGTATTAATGAGGTAATTAGTAAATATTAATGTATCATTCATTACTTGCGTTCCAAAATACTATAAGTTTCTAACTTTGCTTAATTTATCCTACATATACATATCTAAAAAAAAAAAAAAAAAATTATATCATTACTCAACTGTATATGCGTCTATACCTGTATCTGTCTGTCTATTCGTAAGTAAAAATAGCTGATAAAAATAGCTGATAGAATAATCATGAAACAAGCTACGTATAGTAATATATAGTAGTATAATAGTATGGTATATAGTATAGTACGTAGTGCTATGGTAAAAAAATTACTATTATGAGGACCTTAAACGTTATAAATAAGTCAAATGAATTGTTAATCCGGTGTTATGAAAATCCTTGAAAACAAATCAGCAAAATTTTGTGGATCAAACACTTAATAAAGATTATGCAAATTGAATTCATTAATATATTGATACTTTTGATAAAACCGATGTGTGAAGTGTGAAGTGTGAGTGATATTAATACAATATCACGAAAATTCTTATGCATCGATTTTCTGCGTTTCATGTTAAATAACAATGGAGACAATGAAACGTTCTAAAAAAGATTAACGATTAACGTTAACGTTAGGATAAAACGATCACAATTTCATATGCAAGAAAATTTTTTTTACGTATTAACTTTAATAAAGCTAGGTATTTTTTTTAATATTATTTCTTGTTATTCGTAACACCGTTATATTTTATTAAATTTAGTAAATTTCACACATAACGATAATCATTTCAGATCTCCCATCATTGAATTTTCCGTCATTCCTAGATATCAAGATCTTTTTTTGAAAACTTGTTAAAGATCGAGATTTAATTATGAAATACTATACAGAGTAATTAATTTTAAGCAGTGCAATCAATTAACATTCGGGGGAATTTCTTTTAATCAATAATTACCGTATGTATATAAATGATAATTCTTTTTTTTTTTTCGCATTTATTTAAATTTAAATTCTCCTTCGCATTTGCTTCACATTCGCATTTATATTCGTATTTATATTCGTATTTATATTCGCATTTATATTCGCATTTATATTCGCATTTCGTGGAGTAATTAATATACTGTAAGATCCTCTGTACGATACGGTACACGTTTGCCCTTTATATGCAGTTATTAAAGGTTAGTGAATTTTAATGTCATTGATAAGCATTGATATATTAATAATAAAAAAAATCCCTATCATTCTGATTAATAATAATAATCTTTTCTTATTGGTTAATACGTATAATTAATCCGAATTTTCTTGATAATCTAGATATGTAATATTTTAAAGAGTTTATATTCAAGAACTGCAGGTTCATAAATAATTTCAAGTTTGTTTTTTTATGTAATTTTATTTTTATTAATTACGTATCTCCTTAGAATTATCTCCCCTGAAAAATTTTATGTCAGATTAAATTAAGGAAATCGTTATATTATTACAGTACGTATCAGAAAGTTACTGTACAGTAAATATCAACTTTAAATAAGTTTAACTAAGTTTAAGTAAGTTTAATTAAGATGAATTATTAAATCACGCTACTCTTACTTTTTAATTGTTAAATACACGCGATAAATTTGTTTTACAGTATATTCCCTTTTTTTCTAATTTTTCTAATACAGTAATACGGTGTAATAATCAATATGACAGGTTCTTTTTCCGATAATGATAAGTAATTAATTTTTTTACGATCATAATTTTAAATGCAATTAACATCACGTGACAACTATTGTCATACCTCTTAGAAAATAAAACTTGTTAACTTCAGGATTAGCGAAATGCCAAAATCTGTTATAATGATTTAAATAAAGTAATACATGCACGTACAATACATGCCAATACGTACAATGCGACTGATAATGGTAAAGTTGAAAATCTAGATCATACGGGGATGCATATCGAAAATTCGTGATAGTTTTTAAAAAGAAAAAGAGGTGGCTTTTTTCCCTTTATTTTCCTTACGTGATCCTGTAATATTTGTAAGATTTTTTTTTTTTTTTCTTTATCTTTTACCGATTAGAAAAAAAGAAATTGAATAAGGAAATAGGCTGATTGCATCGCACCCCTATATCATTTTTAATCACAACATCTAGTCTCTTTCTTTCTAAACAACGGTCTTTAAAAAGTACGTATGTACTGTACGAACATAACGAATGTACAATGTTACGAAGTTTGAATTTATTTACTTTACATACAACTTTACCTGGTACCGTAAGTAAATACGTACGTACGTACGTCAAAATTATTTGCACTACAATAATCTTTCTCCTGCTTTCCTTTCGTGTCACATTACGTGAAGCAAATAATTTTTCAGTTATCTCCCTGTTTCCAAAAAATTTATCGTAAATCATAACTTTATATGTAAGTACCCACCTACATATGTTCAATTTTTGGATAATTTTTTGATTGATATACATATAATTTATCTAATGATGGTAAAATGTGTTACGTGTTACTTAAACACCACAGAACAACGGATTTCTTAAAATATGATTATTGCGAAAATTACGCCTAAAAAAACAATTTTTTTTAATACAATAATAGTGATTTAAACGAAATTCTAATTACAAATATATATATTTTTTTTACGTAAAATAGGTTTACTTTTTTATATATTTTAAAAAAAGAAGTCTTTATTTTTTTCTTTTTGAATCGAGAAAGCTGCACATTTTTGTGTTGCCGTACCTTACTCGTACCTTGATTACAGAAAATCCGAAAAAGATTGAATAAAGTTTGACCTAGATCATTACCTGAATAGTATTATAGATACGTTATAATTGTATACTTATAATATACTTATAATATACTGGTAATACATACGTAAGTACACACGAATGATTATAATTTTATTTAATTAAAAATAGAGAGAATGGACATTAAAAGATATGATAAATATTTTTAACCGAGTTACGTATTAACAAAGTTATTAACCTAAACTCATATAAAGTAAACGGCGTAAATGCGTTATCAGCCAATCTTTGAAAATTTTTTAAAGGGAGAGAATAAAATTAAGGAAAAACTTGACTATGTTGTACACCTTTAGGTAATACCATTGATAAAAAAATTTTAGGAAATATTTCTTTAAAAAAATGTATGTACCGACATACGTACTGTACGTACGTACGTACGTATGTACGTACAGTACGTGCGCATAACAGATAAGTTTTTTTTTCTAACTGCTAATGTTGTAATGAATAAATATTTTTCGTGAAACGAAATTTATTTCCAATTTTAATTTGAAACATATGACTGAATTTACAATTCAAAACAATAGATGAACGTAGATAAAACAAACGGAATCTTATAGAATCTTACAAAAAAATCCATCATACGTATCAGTCACGTTTTATTCACTTCAATTTCTCGATTGGATCTGATATTCTGTAAATCATGAAAAAAAACCGGAAATTTGAGTTATATTAAAACGGCTCACAGGACATCTGATTATACGCAATTTCTCAAAATTGGTATTTTCTTTGTAACACGTAAAATTCTTGTGATTAAAATTTTCATAAGGACTGTACATATCAGATATTTACTGGCGTATACGTACGTACGCACGTATCTGGTATCAGGTACGTATGTAAAAGTACAGAAGTACGCCTTCATAAATTTAGTATCCCATGCTCTGAACATTTGATCATTTAGAAAAATTTTTTGATTATTCAAAAAAACAATTTTTGATTATAATTCTTAACAATTTTGATTATTTTGATTATTTTGAGTATTCTTGGAAATCTTTTTGTTTCCCAATAAATGAAGGTTAATAAGAAAAATGGTAGCACGAAAAAAAATAAAACCGGTAAATTAATATTGAAATTACCAGTTAAAGAAAAATCATCAGGTGCTCACGATACGTACGTACATACGTATCTGGTATGTACGTATCAGGTATCAGGTATGTATATGTATGCTAAGTATATAGGTTATATACTGTATTCTAAATACTGAAATATCAGATATCTGATACTGTACGTACTTATTGTTATGTATGTACATACATTTTGTGAGCAATTTAATAGCTAGCATGCATTAATGTAAAACCATACGATGGGGGAATTTTAAATATAGGAAAAATAAATAAAGAGATAAAAGGAGAAGATGATACGTAATACTGTACGTAAAAATGCTAGAAAAACAATCATATTAATTTTAGATCATAAATTTTTAATTTAGAGAATAATGAATAAATTAAAATGGTTGTTTATCAATGATTTAAACTATTTGCTATCTTGCATGAATTTGTTAGAGATCCCATGTAGAACGAAAAAAATGACATACATGAAATAATGAATATAATGAATATAATGAATATAATGAATATGAAATAATGAATAAGAATATTATCATACATACCCTTGTTTACCTAATGATATGTTCTATTAATAACTAATAATTACATATCAATATTAATGTTGTGCTGTTGTTTCAGAAAAAATGAAAATACTAATACGTTGATCTGTTTTATGTTTCGGCAGTTGTAATACATCTATGATAATTACGATTGGTGTCATTAGATCGGTAGATATTATGCCTTTGGGCTTAATTTTTTAAATATTGAAACAATGGACACAATGGAAGTGATATTTTATTTTTATCACAGTTACGATTTTTAATATTAACTGTCACCACCTTTATAATACGTATATAACTACTGTATGACATCAATATTGCAGATCTTTTATGCAGACTTTATCTTTGATCATCTTTTCGATTTAGTTACGTATGACGTGAAAATATAAATTTTTTCTTTTTCTGTGCTAATTTTGTAATTATCATTAATTTCTAATAGTTAAAATAACTAGCTAACACTGTAATAACTAGCTAACACTGTAATAACTAACTAGCTAATAACCAATAAGATGTCGTGATATCATTATTGCATTATTGAGGATAATTAACTACGTACTGCAGTACTGTATGATATACTTTTTTTTTTTTGATCTGATTAAATCATTCTTATTTTAATATTTAATTGATCCGTCTTTTAAATCACGAATTAATTTATGCATAAAATACTATATTGATTGAATACGTAATAGATACCTAAAGTTAATAAACACTTAATAAGTCCTCATTATTACAGTTACCCCAAAACACGACAGATAAGTAAATGAAACATTTATACTGTTGTAACTGTTGTAACTATTGTAAACATTACAGTAGATTTAGAACTGAGTTAAAAAAACTGCGCATGTAATACTTCAAAAGAGCCTTTCTCTTTTACATCGTTTTTAAAAAGCACATTTTTAGGAATTTAAAATTGATAAAATTTTAGCTTATCAAACATTACCTAATAATTACTGCGTAGTTCTGTAGTTACTTTATCAATTAATACAAACTTAGAAACAATTTTGTTTCAAGTCGGAGCATTCGGAGCTTGATTCTAGAAACGTGTGAAACCTTAAATTTAAATTCTTTTAGTTAATATTTCATACTTCGGTGACACTTGTGACACTTTGTCATTTTATAGAATTTATAGAATTTATAAAATTTATTTATAAAACCCGATCAAAAATCTACGTACAAGACTTGTCACACATTGCATGATTTACATTTTAGGTAACCAATATCGGAAGATCAAAACTTTTATTATAGAGTACGTAATATATCGATATATACATATATAATATATAATATACAATGTGTAAACATTACATTTGTTAAGAACAACGGAGAAACTTGGTGGATCTGGATCAAGTCTCAAAGTACACAATGACAACCAAGCCTCAAGTCACAATAAAACCAGATTTTGAATTATCTAATGCAGTGTAAGAATCATCAAGCGCCATTTTTATACCGATACGTATAAAGTTTTAGGCTAAAAGCTTTATTTAACAAAAAATATTACTAATCAAATTTCAAGAAATTGTAAATTCTTTTTGATGATTTTGCTTTTCAGAATTTCAGAATCAAATTATAAGAAGTACACAATAGATACTAATTTTGAGATACTTATTATTGTTAGGAAACACCAAGCGCCATTTCATATATATATATATATACTGTAAAGTATAAAGTTTTAGGCTAAATCTTTATTTAATAAAATATACTAATCAAAATTAAAGAAATTGAAAATTCTTTTTAATGAAATTGCTTTTCTAGATCAAGTCTTAAATACACAATAGATCCTAATTTTGAGATGGTTTAATATTGTGTTAAGGTGTTAAGAAACACCAAACGCCATTTTATACATATAAAGTTTAAGGCTAAAGCTTTATTTAATAAAATATACTAATCAAATTTCAAGAAAAAAAAAAAAATTCAAATCTCAAAAGCACACAATAAATCACGATTTTTTATGTAATGTTGTGTAAGAATTAAATCAAGCGCCATTTCATACATATAAAGTTTTTAGGCTAAAGCTTTATTTAACAAATATGTTAATCAAATTTCAAAGAAATTGGATTTTTCTCTTTGATGTTGCTGTTGTGATCCGATTTAATCCTATCCCTTTACCTATAAGACACACGTATCAATGTATTGGTATCAATACAATGATTAATAGTTAATACGTATATATATACATAAGTATAAATACTAATATATATACACCATACTAATATACTGTGCATACTATAATATATATACACACTAATATACATATACGTATAATATACATTAATGTACATTAAAATCATAATATATACATTGAATTTATCGAATACAAATTATATCAATAAGCGCATAGTTTACTATTCAAGGACAAAGAATCATTATAATCATTATTACCAGATCATCTCAAATCTTTTTTTGGGAGGTACCTTGCATATACTTAGCCCATAATAATATTTGGAAGAACATTTAAAAAATTGTGATATTCATTAAACTTTAAATAGTCACATATTTAAATTATTATTTAGTATATTTTAAACAATAATTATATATATATTTTCGTGATAAAAAGGTAAGGAATGCAAAAATCTTTTTTAGGTTGTTCTTCGCGAGACTTTTTTTTTTAAAATAAATAAAACCGCTTTTGGCAGTTCCAAATCAGGTGAAAAACGTGTCATGTGCGTTGATAATTATATTTCATATCATTGTTAAAGAAGGACACGAAACATAAACGTGGGCTTTATGAATAATGCTTTTAAGAAAATTTTACATTATTATTATTACCCAATTTGAAAAAAAACAACTTGAATCATTATTGCGCGTGTGAGATAGATGTATTTACTTATTTACTGTATATTATTTATTCGTATATTCGCGGAACAAAAATAATTCACGTTTTTTTTAAAAAAAAATAAAAAATAGGTAATATTTGTTCGTGTACCCTGGTCGTGCACCGTGTTCGTTTCGATCCTCTAATCTTTTGATTCATCTTTTTTCCCTCGTAAATATATTTTTTTGTAAAATTACAATAACCAAAATAATAAATATTAATTATAAATTAATTATAAATTAATCATTGATTTATTATAGATTAATTATAGACTAATTAATACTATATAACGATAACGTGGGATTTTTTTTTTTAAAGCCCTGAATACGTTAATTCTGCTTAATTCTGTAATTAATTAATGAATTTAACAAATAAACGGTTTATTTGTTTGTTCATTTCTATCAAGGGTAGTTATTTTTTATTAAAACTTGTTTTTTATAAAAAATTGGCTTAATCATTATTTGTTATTATTCTGATCTTTGTTTTTTCAGGGGCTCACGTCAATATTTGACAACATTTGATCAATATGATCAATTTGATCAATTTGACGAAAGATTGGCGCTTGAAAATAAATAAATAATCAAAAATCATCAATTATGTCAATTTTTGTCAATTTTTGTCAATTTTTGTCAGTTTTTGTCAATTAGAATGAGGTTTACTGAATTCGGAAGAAGGCATGAGACAACAGGTTTCTCTGAATTTATTATACAATGAACTTGACATAAAAAACCGAAAAGTTTTTTTAACATTATTATAATTATAAATTTGTAAAGGTTTACATTGGAATGATCGGCATCATCAAATGACATAAGCATGTAATAAACAATCAATACACCTTCAATATAACTTTCAATATAACTTTCAATATTAATTATCCAATCAAAATCTTTAAAAAAATTTTTTTTTTTTTCGGGAACAATGGTTTAAACTTGAACTTTTGTTTAGCCTATTTTTGCTTGCATCAATTCTGAAAAGTCGTGAAATTGTTTTTTCGTGTTTTCTTTATATGGAAGAGAATGTTTTTTTTCTGATCCTATGTAAAAAATTTTTTAATAAGTACAATAATGATAATAATACAATAACGGGCTGAAATATCATGTCAAAATGATTATAAAATTATGTTACCACATTACTTTTTAAAGACTTGGACAACTTTTTTTAAACGGAAAAATGAATAATGGCAATCTTTTTTTTTTTTTACAGGTACTATAGTAATATCAATTGTTTCTTGAGAAAGAACTAATTCTTTCCATCTTTTGCAAAATGATTCAGCCAAATAACTAAATCTGTTAATTCTTTAAACATTGAATCGCACTCGGTAAAAAATTTATTTTCTAAAAAAGTGAACAATCCATTAACAATCATTAGACACGTAAAAGACATTTTTCTATGATATCTTGACGTATCGGGTAATTTTCAAATAGCCTGACAATTTCTATATGTCTTTTTCTATAATCAAAGTAAAAAAAGACGAGTGCACATGTCAACGACGCAATAAACAGGTAAGTTGTATGGGGTTTAAAATAAATGTCAAAATAAATGTCAAAATGTTTGGCGGATTAATATCACACCTTACATTTTTCTTGAAATTCACTCATACTGTTGTACGTACTATATCTGGATTTACTTATTTTGTTTAACGTCTGTAAGCCTATTTTATTATGTCAGAAATTAAATCAATTATTGTCCATCCATTAATCAAAAATCAATAATGATAAACTTTTTTTGAATAATGAAGGTTTAGTTTAAACTTCTGAACTGTGAATAACGTATGTCACACACACGTAGATTCTGGTGATCATTTTAAGGTGGATCAAACAATTTCCCAAAGAGTGTAAATATTTGTATGAATGTTTTAAAAATTTATTAAATTTATTAATTTTATTAAATTTATCATTTATTAAAAACATTTTCTATCATTAAATAAACGCATTAATGATCTTTTGGAAATGTCAATAATGAAAATAATGATAATAATGTCGCTCTGAAACTAACCAGGCTGGGGTAACTAGCCTGGGATTTTTGAAAATAAAGCTTTCGTTAATCTATTGTATATACTGTACATATGATCGGACACAACAGAAGCCTTGATGCTTTGTCCTACATTTGTCCTACGGTGAATTTTTACGTCATGCATTTTTTTGGCCGATTAAAATAAGGTTAGCTCAGTGTTACAATAATTAATCTTGGAAACATGGGGCACATGTTCCGGTTGTTAATTGATCTTCTACCTTCGTCACATGAACGTTCGTTTTCTATTTCAATTCTCTAATAAAGATATCGTTATGAAATTCTCTAATATATATATATATATATATATATATATATATATATTAATAAAAACTTTCTATGTATTGATGAAATTAATTCTTTATTAAAGAATTTCCTAATAAGAATTTCCTATTGTAGTAAGATTTTTTACGTAATAAGGATTCCTTTGTAAGAACTTTCCAATAAAGTGTTTCCTTGTAAGAATTCCCTAATAATGTAAGGTTTTTACTTCATTTCGTTAAGTTATTCAATAAAGTTACTGACAGCTCATTTAGCCGACATCACGTAACCAATCAAAATGTTACCTCTAACTTTACGTGGTATCGGCTAAATGAACATTTCGGTGAAAAATCATCTAATGTACATACCCATAGTTTGATTTCTACAGTATTATTCGTTACTCCGCTAATGACATTATTCAACATCATTACGTGATATAACATAACGACAATGGTGGTAATAATATTATAATATGTCACCAAATTTTGAGCCTTCTTAACTTTTATGATATCTATCTTAAACATTCTATAAATCTTATAAATCTTATAAATCTTATAAATCTTATAAATCTTATAAATCTTATAAATCTTATAAATCTTATAA